ACAAATGTATAATTGGTGACGTATCTGGGAAAAGGCCCTTTTTAAATGGGGCATTTACTAATAGAATGATGTTAGGGCATAGAACGGATGACTCGGAGATCAGTGTCTCAGTCCAGCACAGCTGAGAGCCTGGGTTTGATTGCTGGTTTCACCCGCCTGTGATTAAACCGGGTTCTCAAGCGAAGGGAGTTAACGACACATTTCATATTTACGCGATATAACCCGAACAAAAACCTTTATGATATATAATATTCATCGCGAAAGCCTCCTACCACTACGACGTGTTAGATTCCCGAACCATCCTGGATGGGTAAGTCTATTTGTAAGCCAGAAAATATCCCTGCGCGCGACCAATACCAGTGACGATTATCTGAACCGATCACGGGGCTTCTCCTAGGTCGACTCGGCCTCAAATGAGTCACCTGGAATAGCTGTAAGAAGGCATTGTGCTGGGGTTGGACCTGGGTCACGTGTGTAGTGCAATATCGCCGGCTGCTGTCTAAAAAGTGTAACTACAATGTACGGCAGTACACACGTTAAGAGACGACAGTATATACGGGGGGAGGGGGGTAAAACATCTATGGAAAATTTTCGATTTAAAGCTTTCGTGACTGCAGGGATTAATCTTCTTGGTTCTTTCGGTAAAGTCACGTAGAAGGGAAATAATAAAATAAATAAATAAAACATTATAAAATAATTCTCACGACGTTTCGGCCACAACGCAAACAGCCGTCCTCAGGTGAAGAACAGGTCTGTCGGAAAGACAGCGTCTGACGTCTGACGCTGTCTGAGGACGGCTGCTTGCGTTGTGGCCGAAACGTCGTGAGAATTATTTTATTATGTTTTATTTTTATTATTTTATTATTTCCCTTCTACGTGACTTTACCGAAAGAACCGAGAAGATCTATGGTAAAAGTTCATGCAGGGGGCCATCTGGAAGCCCGGGAACCTGCTAGTAGGTTCCAGAAGGGGGGCGTGGCCAGGGCGGATCAAGGCCACGCCGGGAGCTCACGGCTGTTGCTGGAAGTGGGTCCCCTTGCCGTGCTGTTGTCTCACCACCATCGTCGCCACCGTCTTCTTCACCATCGCCGATGCCGCTAGGCTAGACAGCCTGCCAACTGGGCTAGCTAGTTAGGTGCCGGCGGCGATAGACGGCTGTGTGTGTCTATAAAAAAAATATATAGTGTGCACACACGGTGTAGTCTCCTACCGACACGTGCTTGGATAGTGGGTGACCACAATGGGCGAGAGACAGGTGGTATAGGTATTGGCCAGATCAGCTCAATAACAACGGTAGGAAGCTACTAGACTTTTGTACGGCTCATGGGCTTGTAATTACCAACATGCTGTTCCGGCATCGGTGCATTCCACACAACATCACGTATGCACGCCTGGTCCAAGCAAGAACAGTCTGCTGGACTACATAGTGACGGACCAGCGGATGCAAGCCCATGTTCTTGACACCGGTACTTACCGTGGAGCTGATCTGCCGACTGACCATCGACTTGTCATCTGTAAGATGCGCCTGCCATTCTTCCACTCCGGTGGTGGGTGTACACCCAGGACCCCATTCAAACCTACAGTGGCCTGGTCTCAGCTAGCTGATGAAAGTTGCAAGTGAGAATTACATCATCGCTTGCAGTTGCATCGTCACCCACTCCACCTGATGCCGAGTTGAAATGGGCGAGGTTTAGGACTGTGGCTCATGCAGCGGCAATGACTGCTTTGGGTACACGGTCCAAACCTCCACAGAGACCCTGGTTGACAGAGGTGTTCAGGCTGGCTGAGAAAAAGCGACAGGCCCACTCTCATCGTCTACAGCATCCCACGTCAGAGAATGAGGAGGCTTACCGAAGACTTCGCTTGAAAGGTTTGGAAGCCGTGAGGCGCTGCAAGGATGGGTGGTGGTCGCGGGTTGCTGAGGAAGATGGAATCTGCCTCAGTGGCCCGCGATCATAAATCACTCTTTAACTCCATCAAAAAAGTAACTTGCAGCACCACACCTATCACCATCATTAGGGGAAAGAACGGTGATCCAATCTCCGGCCCCCAGGAACAGGTTTGCAGATTTGCTGAGCATTTCTGTGAGCTCTTGGGGAGGGGAAATCCCTCAGCCTGGAAAACATCGTGGTGCAAAGTGGCGATGACCCTGCTGAGGCTGCGGTGTCTCAAATATTGGAAGAAGAAGTCACCCCCTGTGAGTGGCTGGCTGAGGTGCCATCTGTTGAGGAAGTACGGAAGGCGATCCAGAGTCTGAGACCAGGAAAGGTACCGGGCAGAGATGATCTCCAAAGCGAAATGCTGAGGGAGGGTGGCGTTTGTGCACAGACTGCCTTACATGACATCATAATAACAGTCTGGACCACTGGACGGGTTCCACAGGATCATTAAGAAGGGGGACCACACAGACTGGAACAACTACAGGTGTGCCGGGAAAGGTCCTAGCAATGATTATTCAACATCGCCTTGCCAGGCATGCTGAGCCCCAATATGGTTTCAGGAAAGGGCGGTCATGCACAGATGCCATATTTTCTGTCCATTTTCTACAGTGGAGGTGTAGGGAATTCTAACAAGACTTACATCTCTGCTTTATTAACCTGATCAAGGCCTATAATACCATCAGTAGGCCTGACCTTTGGGTTGTTCTTTGTGCTTTCGGAGTCCCTGACTCTCTGCTCACAATCGTTAAGGACCTTCATGATGGTGAGCAGGCCCGGGTAAAACTACGTGACCAGGAGTTGGAGCCATTCCCTGTTCACTTTGGGGTGCAACAGGGATGTCCTCTGTTTCCCACATTATTTAGCATCTATTTTGACCACGTAGAAGGTGACGCATTCGATGGCTGTACTAGAGGAATTTCCATCTAGTACAGATACCATGGGAGGCTGATCGATACTCGGCTGTGGTCAAGGGATGGCTCCCTATTGGTCAACCACGTTATGTATGCTGATGATCTGGTGATTGCTGCTCACTCAGAGGAGGAGTTGGAGGTGCTGCTGTTGAACCTGGAGCATGCCACTAAGAGGTGGGGCCTTACCATCAGCCCCACCAAAACTAATCACCTGCCTGCGTATTTTGTCCCATTAGATACTCCACCCCCACAACTCCCAATTGGTGATGGGGCAGTTGTGGACAGAGTGGAGAGTTTTCCATACCTGGGCAGTGTGCTCATGACTGGCTCCGGTTTGACAGCAGAGGTCTCACTCTTTTCATCTGTTGCGTAACGCTGTGTGGAAGCTACCTAGTCTGTGGCTCCGCACGAAGCTTCAGGTCTTCTCGGCCACCGTCATGCCCTCCCTTCTCTACGCTTGCGAAAGATGGACCCCCCTAATGGAACATATTCGCCGGTTAGAACATTTATCCCAGCCCAACTACGATCTATCCTGAGTTTAACCAGGTTGGATTGTGTGAGGAGCTCACAAATCCTTGAAAGATCTGGACAAAGTCCCATCGGTGAGCTCCTCTGGCAGGCAAGGCTTCGTTGGCTGGGTCATGTAGCCCGCAAGCTCAGCCACAGCATGCCTCAACAGCTTTTGTTCGGCCGGATAGAGGGGGCTAAACGGGCGCGGAACAGCCTAGAGAAGAGATGGAGTGATGTGGTACAAGAGGATGTGGAGCTGATTGGACTTGCCGATGACTGGTGCCAGCGGTGTCAAGAGTGGCCTCTGTGGAGGAGGCTCGTGAAGGACGCTACTGGGCAGTTGGAGGCAGTCGCCCTCCAGCAGCAACGGAGGGCGGAGGAGCGACGCTCACAACACCAAGCAGAGGGCCGGGCAGGCTAAAACATAGCAAGTTGGCACAATAGGGGGCACAGGTGGTGCATCAGCCAGTCATCTCAGTCAGTCGACCCATGGCACCTGGGTCTGCCCCGTGACCTCTTGCCGGGGGCGTTCGACACTTCACGTGGCCTCAAGGTGCACAGTAGCCTGGCACAAGCGCCGTGGTGATGTCACCTCCACTTCGTGGCGAATGGCGGTTGTTATTGTTGTTATAGGCACTGTGGGCAGTGCCCTGAGAACGATTGCTTAATTGCGCTTTATACATTTAAATTATTATAATTGCATCACAATCAATTAATCTCCTACACCCATTCACCAACTGGCACGGACCAGCCTGGTGAAGTATGTTCATCTATTTTTATCTGTACCGAGATAGAGCGTTGCCCCCTTGCACGCGTGTGCTTTCTCGGGTTTCCTCCCCGCTTGGATAAACACTCAACATTCATTGTCTGACAGCATCTTGAAAATCTTGATATAAAAAAAACCCAAAACGAGGAGTTCCCCCATAAAGCCTGGAACAGACTGCAGGGGCAAGTGCTGTTAGCGAGTAGCACCTATGAAGGTGCCGTCGCATGGCACACGATGGGGTGGGTGGCCAGCACCACGCCCCGACCGTCTTTGTCTCCCCAGTGGGGATGTTTGACGCACCACACCGGGTACTCATTTGAGGCCGAGTCGACCTAGGCGAGGCGTATGACTGGTTCAAATAATAATTGTCGCTGGTGTTGTCCGGGAATCGAACTCGGGTCGCCGCTTGGCACTACCGCCAGGATTCGTAGCGCAACGTACACACACACACGATACATACGAGTGCAAGTTTCGGTTGCTATCGTGAAACCATGAAGCGAGACAAAACCGTGTCAGAGAGGGCTTGCCCCCCCCCTGCCTTCTCTCCCCCCCCTGCCCCCCCTCCCCCCTGCCCCCCCTCCCCCCTGCCTCCCCCCCTGCCTCCCCCCCTGCCTCCCCCCCTGCCTCCCCCCCCCCCTGCCTCCCCCCCTGCCTCCCCCCCTGCCTCCTCCCCTGCCTCCCCCCCTGCCTCCTCCCCCTGCCTCCCCCCTGCCTCCCCCCCCAACTTCACCACTCCCTCCGACTCTCCCACACACTCGCTCGCAGCGCTCACCTCCCTCCCCGAACACGGCCAATCCTATAGCCGGACCCCCGCCCCCCCTCGAGCCCGCCCGCCCGCCCGCCCGCCACCTCCAAGCAAACACGACCCGGCTGCTGCCAGTCGACCTAAGATCGCTCACGCACGGAGGCCACCGCCGTCCCGATATCGCTCTCGGCGTGCGCGCGCGCGCGTGCGTTGGGGTACCGCCCAATACAACTGTCGTCAATTGGGGGTTTAAAAAAAAAACACTGTGTGTTCTTAATTTTCGACGTTAATTGGTCTGAGTGCGATCGGCCCCGCACGTGGCTTCACCTATTCGCGGAATCTCTCGACGGCAAACGACGAACGACATCGTCGGCGAAGGAGGAGTGGATGATGTCGCGTTGTTTGACGAGCCAATTGACGGGACTCGCGCAATGAGCGGCGAGCGAGTGGGATGTGACCGTGAACGCGCTGAATGAATGAACGAATCAGTGGCCGTTGGTAAGTGAGCAGCGGATGACTGAATGAATGAGTAGAAGCATTCCACCATGCGTGCGCACTCGCCGCCCCTGATGATGCTGCTGTTGCTGATGCCCTGGGGGTGGTGGCTTCACGCGGGACACGCGGCCGTCACGAGGGGACACGGGACGGCTCGCATCGGGGCGGAGACGTGGGACGGGCCCCACGGCAGAGAGGACGAATCTCGCTCGGGAGACGACGGCGCCAAGGCACGAGACGGGTCACGCGCGGGCACCACAGAGACCCGCGGTGATGGTGCTGGCTGGTGCTGCTGGTGGTGGTGGTGTTGCTGCTGCTGGTGGTGCTGGTGGTGGTGGTGCTGGTGGCTCTCTTAGCGGAGACGACGTCGCCGCGGAGACGCACGGTGGCTCACGCGGAGCGGACGTCTCGCACAGAGGGGACGACCCGGAGGCATGGGCTGCTGTCTCGCGCCGAGGGGACAGCATCGAGGGTGGGGATGAGTCTCGCCCGGACACCGCACGGACGCGCGGTGTCTCACGCGGAGAAGACAGTCTTGGCACAAGGGACGGCGCGCACGCGCGACGCGTACGGGGGGGCATGGCAGGGCACGTCCCGTACAGGGGGCACCTCCCTCTCGACAGAGCCCACGGCGCGCACAGGGGCCACGGAAACGCCACGTCGCCCGTGGTGGTGCTGCCGGAGTACATGGTGTCTCTGTACCGCACCCTGTCCGTGGCCGAGAACCTGGGACTCAACGGGAGCCTCTCTCGCAAGGGCACGGACGCGAACACGGTGACCGGATTCGTGGATAAAGGGCACGGTGAGGGGGATACATCGTCACCGTCATCATCATCATCGTCACGATCATCAGCATAGCCACCATCATCTTCATCATCACCATCATCAGCATCCTCATCGTCACCGTCATCATCATTACCTACTCTTAGGTTTTTTCGGTAAAATCACGTAGGTAAAAAATTAATAATAAAATATAAATAATAGAAGATGGTGATGATGCTTTTACCCACGTGACTTTACCGAAAAACCTAAGAGTATGAATCCTTGCAGTCACGAAAGCTTCAAATCTAGAATCATCATTACCATCATCATCATCCTCATCATCACGATCATCAGCACCGTCGTCACCATCATCCTCATCAATCGTCACCATTATCGTCATCCTCACCACCAGTCATCATCACTATAATCATCGTCATCATTATAACTTTCATAAGCATCATCACCATCATGGTGCTCATCATCGCCACCTCCATCATCATCATCCCACTCACCTGTATGTCTCTCTCTGTAGGGTATGATGTGTGAGGCGTGTGTGTTGGCTAAGTGTGTGTACTGCATAGGCTATGCGTGTGTGAATGCTATATGTGTGTGTTAGTTATGCTTGTGTGTAATCTGTGTGTGTGTGTGTGTGTAGGCTGTGTATGTGTGTATGCTGTGTGTGTGTAGGCTGTGTGTGTAGGCTGTGTGTGTAGGCTCTGTGTGTGTGTGTGTAGGCTGTGTGTGTAGGCTGTGTGTGTGTGTGTAGGCTGTGTGTGTGTGTAGGCTGTGTGTGTGTGTAGGCTGTGTGTGTGTGTAGGCTGTGTGTGTGTGTAGACTGTGTGTGTGTCGGCTGTGTGTGTAGGCTGTGAGTGTGTGTGTAGGCTGTGTGTGTGTGTAGGCTGTGTGTGTGGGCTGTGTGTGTGTAGGCTGTGTGTGTGGTAGGCTGTGTGTGTGTGGTGAGGCTGTGTGTGTGTGTAGGCTGTGGTGTGTTGCTGTGTGTGTGTAGCTGTAGGCTGTGTGTGTGTGTGTTGGCTGTGTGTGTGTGTAGGCTGTGTGTGTGTAGGCTGTGTGTGTGTAGGCTGTGTGTGTGTGTAGGCTGTGTGTGTGTGTAGGCTGTGTGTGTAGGCTGTTTGTGTGTGCTGGCTGTGTGTGTGTGTAGGCTGTGTGTGTGTAGGCTGTGTGTGTGTGTAGGCTGTGTGTGTGTGTAGGCTGTGTGTGTGTAGGCTGTGTAAACTGTGACTGGCAAGCAACACGATGAGGGAATCGCCAATACATAGTCTTCACAACCATCTCCATCCCACACGCGCGTGTGGGATGGAGATGGCCACCCACCCCCTCGTGTGCCGTGCCGCCCTTCACAGGTGCTCCCCGCTAACAGCACTTGCCCCAACAGTCTGTTAAGGCTACACGGGGGATCTTTGTTTGTGTGTGTGTGTCTGGAGAGCGGTAGTGTAGTGATCAGGGCACTGCATCCTCTGCATGCACCTGATCACTCAAAGGCGAGGCCTTCATTGTGGAATTGCCTTTCTACCACAGACGTTCCATCTGCCTCAGTCGACTCTTACCATCAACGTCTAATCCTGTTTAGGCTTTCCAAAGCGATGTAAAACTAGTACATTTAACACGCGAACAAACATTGCGTAAGATTCATCATTGATTGGTTTGCGTGAGATGGTGTGAGTAAAACGTAGTGTCGTATAGCCTCCTCCACCCGACAAGGCAAGTTCATGAAGTTGCCACGTGACTGAAGAAACGTGGCCGACTGATGAAACTAAACACATCTTTAAAAAAATATTTTATCAGGCAAGGCATACTGAGCGATGTAGTTTGTTTTTCAGAAGCGACCTTGGCCACAAATGGCTCGACGAAGTGGCTTATCGCGTGGACATGTATAGCAGCCCAATACTGTGAACGCGTGTTTGCTAAATGTGGAGGGAAAAACTGGAGGACCCGGAAGAAAATGCACGCGACCACGGGGAGAGAGATAAGCACGCAAACTACAAATATACAGCAGCAGGCGCCAGGGTCTGGATCGAACCCACGTCCTCCTGCACACCAGGCGAGGTAGTTAACATCTCCTAGCCAGCGTGATGATGATGATGAGAGAGACACGCAAACTCCAAATATACAGCAGCAGACGCCAGGGTCTGGATCGAACCCACGACCTCCTGCACACCAGGCGAGGTAGTTAACATCTCATAGCCACCGTGATGATGATGAGAGAGAGACATGCAAACTCTACATATACAGCAGCAGGCGACAGGGTCTGGATCGAACCCACGACCTCCTGCACACCAGGCGAGGTAGTTAACATCTCCTACCCACCGTGATGATGAGAGAGAGAGAGAGACACACGCAAACTCCAAATATACATCAGCAGGCGCCAGGGTCTGGATCGAACCCACGACCTCCTGCACACCAGGCGAGGTAGTTAACATCTGGCCACCGTGGCGCTTAAGTAGCACCGCCTGTAGTGTCGTTGTAGCTGATGTTGGAGATGGATCCAGGCTCAACATTTAACAATCGCGACACTTCAGAGACAGATGCCCGGCAATTTCACAAGAGGGAGACCCGTGACGGTGCGAGAACGCAGCAGCGATAACAAACACAAAACAACCCCACCCCCCTCCTATTAGCACGGTTGGCTAGTACGGTGCGAAAGAAGTTCATTATTTTATTACTTCCCTTCTACGTGACTTTACCGAAAGAAACAAGAAGATGAATCCCTGCAGTCACGAAAGCTTTAAATCGAAATTTATACATTATGCAATAACGTTTGACACACGTGGTTGTTTTATTTTTTTACTAAGAACCTTTATTCGGACACAACGCCATTCCTAGACCCGGACTCGGGATCTCGATACGCGAACTGTGTCTACTCTCTAAGCGTCTCCTTCCCTTGCGCTGTATCCCCTTTTATATCCCTCGAGCCCCCCTTTCTGGAAGGTTCGCTCACCCCACAATTCCTCTCGACCAACCCCCTTCCTCTTCCTCCTCCTCTTCCTCCAGTGGTAATAAAATACAATTCTCACGACGTTTCGGCCACAACGCAAGCAGCCGTCCTCAGGTGAAGAACAGGTCATTCAGACACTGTCTTTCCGACAGACCTGTTCTTCACCTGAGGACGGCTGCTTGCGTCGTGGCCGACACGTCGTGAGAATTATTTTATTATGTTTTATTTTTATTATTTTATTATTTCCCTTCTACGTGACTTTACCGAAAGAACCAAGAAGATGTGGCCACTACTTGAGCACATTGGCACAAGACAGAGAGGAAAGTGGAAACCACAAATGACGAAATGTGTCAGTGGACACTTACTGCGGGTTACCTGCCCGTGGATCGTGATGATGATGATGAATGGCGCATCGATTATCAAGCGATTAATACCGATTCCTAATTCTCGAAATGCACGCACAGGACGATAGGTCACACGTGTTATGGGGATCGATCCGTTGAAAGTTTGGGCGAATTATTACGTCCACGATATGCTGTTACATTTAGGCCAACGGAGTGCACAGCAAAGCTGCACAAATGTGAAATACAACCGAAGATGGTAAAAAAAAACGTTACAAAAAAATTACCAAAAATGTACTATAAAAAGAGGGAAAATAGATCAAACAATATACAAAAAATGGACAAAAAAGAACAACATTAAAAAAAAACTCAAATTAGACAAAAAAAACGAAATTGTTTGAGAAAAATAAACATAAAATAGACAAAACATTTACAAAAAAGAGACAATTATTTTTTACAAAAAGTATATTAAAAAAATTGACGAAGTTTATTGTCAAAAAATTTACGAAACAGTTGGAGAGAAAAATAGACAAAAGATAAGAAATAGACAAAAAAACGAAAAAATAGACATTGTAATTTTTTTTACAAAAATGTGATCAAATTTTATTTTTTGACTAAAAAATGTATGCAAAATTTTACGAAAAAATAGACGAAAAAATTACAACCCCCGCCCCCCCCACCGAATTGTACGAATTGTTAAACGAAATGGCAGTGGCGAACCGCGACAATTCACTCAGTCACCGGCAGGCGATTGGAATCGCCGCACCGATGTGGGAAAATAAATAACAGTTTGATTTTTAAAGAAAATAACTTCGTGGAATGCGATCTCAGTGGGGTGATAACAAGACTCAGGTGACTGCCAACAAACACGGTACTATAAACACATTTGTTTTTATAAGTAAGCTTTCAACACCGATGTTGTGATTCACAATGGCTTTATTTCGTGTGAGTTTTCATCGTGTAGTGTATAATGACATTCATTTGTGTTACTGTAAACCCTCCACCACCCGACAACCAATCAAATCAAGTTGTCACATCACAGGGCAAATATCAGAACCGGAATAATTATTTATACTGGAGGAATCCGATGAGCTACAAAGCTCTTTAATTGCTCACAGATACCAAGTCTTTGACCGCGTTCCCACAAGCGGCTACATTTAGAACATCACGGTTAATCATACACAAGAGTTGTTCAATGGGTTTATATTTGACGTCATTGTTTATACACTGGGACGTTCACGGCACGTGAAAACTCGGTCACAATCAAACACATGCGGCTGGTTTGCCCCACACACATACAACGGCAAAGACCCCCCGTATAGCCTTAACAGACTGTTGGGGCAAGTGCTGTTAGCGAGTAGCACCTATGAAGGCCGGCACGGTACACGACTGGGCGGATGGCCTAGCAGCACCACGCCCGACCGCCTTTGTCTCCCTAGTGGCGACGTTTACACACCGCACCAGGTACTAATTTGAGGCTGAGTAGACCTAGGGGAGGCCCATGACCGGTTTAGATATTCGTAACTGGTGTTGGCCGTGAACGGGAATCGAACTCGGGTTGCCAGGTTCGTAGCGCAGTGCGCTAGCATTGCTACCCTACCGCTCCCCACACATACAAACACGCACGCACGCAACCCATTTCGATCTGAGCGCATTATTTTCTCACGAAAAAATGTCCCCATTGGACACGATGACCGGTTCCTGATTTTTTTTTTGGGAAGCGGTAAATCGCATCTCGAAAACGGTTACCGGTTTGACCGGTCATTGCTTAACGACCCTGGTAAACACACACAGTCCACTATCAGCAGGCTTTTGTAACTTTATGAAGTTTGACGGCACCGAAATAATCGACTATCTTCCCTTTGTCTAAACGTGTAGTCTATCCTAATAGGTGTTAACATTGAAGACTGCAATATTTATACACAGTATACATATATGTGTACTGCATTAATGGTGGAGTTTTGGCACGCAGTGGAAAGCCCACTGCGCTATGTACCGAGCACGTCTGACATCAGTGGCGAATGATATCTGTATCTACCCACCCCCTTCCTCCCGCCGCCCACCTATGCCAATGCATTAAACATACACTGACCCAGCGTGGTGAAGTATGGTCAAACAGCATTCATGGACCATCGTGACGTGGGTTCAGAGGCCATTCATCCAGTAGAGGGATCTACATCAAATGGCGAATCGGTGTCATTCGCATGGGCACTGAATTTCGGCGGCTCTTAACTCCATCAGCTATTAAATGCTCTGGGTCAACTTTTCTCAACCAAATCCTTTAATTAAACCAGATCTGAGCCCGCTGAGAGCCACTGTGTGTCTCTCTCACGAAGCATACCTTGCCGTATCTTAGCCACACTGTTGAACCGTGGTCTTTGCGCTTAATAAGTCAACAGCCCGTTGATAATCTCAAGTTGGACTCTATCGGTTACTGGATTCTGTGTCCACCCCTAAACCGCATTCACTGCACAAACCGTGACGGCAGCAGCCAGCAGCAGATGCGGATGCTGCCTGATTGTGCACAAATTGAAAATTACAAAACTTTGCAGTAGTATTGGTGCGACCGCGGTCATCCAGAACAGACGTATCACGACGACTAAACGCCCCGATCCGCAAATACGATGGAGACATCGCAGCGACGACGACGACGATGATGATGACAATGATGCACCACTCCGCTGCCTCCTGACGTGGTTATCAGGGCTTGGCCACCAGAATGTGAAATTGTAGTCGTTGTTATCGTCGTCATCATCAGCCGTGGTCAACCCACTGCTGGATGAATACCTTCCCCAAGCCACCGTAGCCACAGCGACCGCTCACGATCCTGCGATTATGTAAAAATCCCCCCAGCACCTGCACGCAAAGTGATTTAATCGTTCCATCCACCGAGTGGATGTACTTCGGACGCGTTCCATTCCTTGGCTGCCACTCCGTTCATCTTCTTGGTTCTTTCGTAAAGTCACGTAGAAGGGAAGTAATAAAATAATAAAAATAAAACATAATAAAATCAAATAATTATTTTGTTAAGGCTCTCTTCTTCTTCCACCTCCAACTCAGCTTATATATAAGCTCCTAGCTTGGCAGTGTCTCATTCTTCACCTGAAGACGTCTGCTTGCGTTGTAGCCGAAACGTCGTGAGAATTATTTGATTTTATTATGTTTTATTTTTATTATTGTATTACTTCCCTTCTACGTGACTTTACCGAAAGAACCAAGAAGATGAATCCCTGCAGTCACGAAAGCTTTAAATCGAAAAATGCCACTCCGTTATTAATCTCGGCCATCGTGCCTTCTCGAGCCGGATGACGTCGCTATTATCCCGATTTACGTTCTCGAATCCACGTGCTCCTCTTCCTGTCTCACAGACAACGGAATCATCATCATCATCATCACCACCATCATCATCATCACCATCATCATCATCATCACCGATTCATACATCCAACACAAATGCAAGAACCCTCTTGAAAACGAATTGAGGCGAAGGAATTGAGGGTTCTGCTGTTGGGCTCTTTACTTTAAAATGTTTCAGCCAACTATTGATTAGTGTTTTATTATTATTATACAAGTGGGAGGAAGCCGGAACACCCGCACAAAACCACACGTGCATGACGGGGAGGGGGGGGTTAGCAACACTCCGTCTCCGTACCGATGGAAACGGATGGCGATCAGTCCACTTGCTGTAATGCCTCGTCGACGCCCCACGGGGAAGGAAGTTACGCAACATGTGTGTGTACGGCGGTGATCCACCAGCCCTCGCTGTTGCCTCCACAGCGCTGGGTTACAGGCAGCCACGTGCAGCGTAGCCACACGTGCCCGGCTTGAGAAGGAGCCCTTCTGAAAGGAGTGGTGGGAGCGAGAAATTGCAGGGGCTGCGCCTTCACCTTCACATTTACCTCCGAGAGTGCGATCGCCGTTCCGCAATGCGTTTTGGTCTCCGTGTGGCTGTACACTGCTGCCAGGCTGTGTGTGTGTAGTGGGGAGCGGTGGCGCAGCAGTTACCGCACTGCGCTGTGAACCCGAATTCGATTCCCGCTCACGGCCGCCGACACCGGTGACGAATTATCTGAACCGGTCCTGGGCCTCCTCTAGGTCGACTCAGCCTCAAATGAATACGTGGTGCGCTGCGTACACATCGCCACTGGGGAGACAAAGGCGGCCGGGCGTGGTGCTGTTCACCCACCCGCTCGTGTGCTGTGGCGAAACTTAAAATGTGCTCGCTAACAGCACTTGTCCCACCAGTCTTTTCAGGCTATACGGGGGATCTTTCTCTTTGTTTGTATTAAGTACTTTTTTCTACGAACAGCACTTTATTAAAATTGCAATGTTCGCATATATACTCCGATCGTCTCTAGATGTGCCATGAAGAAGGGCCATTGCCCGAACCGTCGCCCATTATATGTGTGTGTGTGTATGTTGTTGTAAGGCAGTGTGTTTGTCGAAAGCGCTGTGCCTCTGGATGTGGCTGATCGTGTGCACGGCGATGAGCGGTGACGTCCGCGTGTGTGATGCTGTGTTGCGTCACTCTCTCAAAACACGCACACGCGCACACGTGTACACACACCCTAACCCTTACACACACACACACACACATCTACACACACACATGCCCTCACACTTCCTGACGTACACCCTCACACCCTTACATACACACCCACACACACAACCACACACACCCCAATCACCATACTTCATCATGCACATACAACCTGACACACACCCTCACACGCTCCCCGACACACACACACTCACACGCACCCCAACACTCACACACCCTCACACGCCCCCAACACACACACCCTTATAAGCACCCCGACACACACACACACTCACACGCGCCCCAACACTCACACACCCTCACACGCACCCCAACACTCACACACACACAAAGATCCCCCGTATAGCCTTAACAGACTGTAGGGGCAAGTGCTGTTAGCCAGCACCTATGAAGGTACATGAGGGGGTGGGTGGCCAGCAACCACGCCCGACCGCCTTTGTCTCCCTAGTGGCGATGTTTACACACCGCACCAGGTACTCATTTGAGTCTGAGTCGACCTAGGAGAGGCCCAGAACCGGTTCAGATAATCGTCACTGGTGTTGGCCGTGAGCGGGAATCGAACCCTGGTCGCCAGCTTCATAGCGCAGCGCGCTAACCGCTACACTACCGCTCCCCACGCACACACACAAAAAGATCACCCATATAGTCTTAACAGACTGTAGGGGCAAGTGCTGTTAGCGAGCACCTATGGTTCATAGCGCAGCGCAGCGCTAACCACTGCACCACCGTTCCCCCACCGCCCAGGCGCGCCGGCCCCCGCGCTCACGCAGCGCTACGTCTTTGACGTGTCGGCGCTGTCGGCTCACGACTCCCTGGTGGACGTGGAGCTCCGTCTCCTGCGGCGGCCCCCGGAGGCTTCGCGCCGCGACCTCTCCCGCGGGGGGCTCTACCACGTGAGCGTGTGGCGGTGCGGGGCCGACCCCGCGTCACCGCACCGCGGCGACGGCGGTGGGGGGGGAGGCGCCCCCCTCGACTCGCGCACCATCGATGTCCTCGACTGGCAGTATCCGCGCTGGGAGGTGTTCGACGTGAGGAGGTCGCTGCTGATGGGCCAGGGAGGGTTTGGTGGTGGTGCTAGTGGTGGTGCTGGTGGTGGTGGTGCTGGTGGTGGTGGTGCTGGCGGTGGTGCACATCGATCCGCGACTGAGCTGTGCTTGGAGCTCGAGGCGGTGTCGGACCGATCCTCGGCTCGCGTGGACGTGGCCGAGTTGGGCTTCTCTCGGCAGGGACGCGACGCGGAGCGCAGCGCGCTCCTCGTGGTGTTCAGCCGCGGGCTGCGGCGCACGGACAACCTCTTCAGCAAGATCCGCGAGAAGATCAAGCCGTCCAGGAGGCAGCAGCAGCAGCACAACAACAACAACAATCGTCAGAAGGACCACCACCACCATCACCATCAGCAACAGCATCAACCACATCAGCAGCAGCAGCAGCACAGCAACAATCGTCAGCAGCATCTCCGCCACCACCCTCACCACCACCACCACCGCCAGCACGCCACGGACGAGGCGAATGCTCGCGCTCGCCGTGGCAGGAGGATGACCGTCCCGGGTCGCGGCGGTGGTGGCGGTGGTGGTGGTGTTGGTGGTGGTGGTGGTGCGTCTCCCAAGGGCGGCGGCGCGTCCCAGACCTCGCCCGGCGGGGTCCCGGCGCGTCGCTCCTCCTCCTCGTCCTCCTCGTCTCGCTCGCGCTGCGGCCGCAGGCAGCTGCGGGTGAACTTCAAGGAGCTGGGCTGGGACGACTGGATCATCGCGCCGCTCGACTACGACGCGTACCTGTGCGAGGGCGTGTGCGACTTCCCGCTGCGCTCGCACCTCGAGCCCACCAACCACGCCATCATCCAGACGCTGCTCAATTCGCTCGAGCCCGACGCCACGCCACCCAGCTGCTGCGTGCCCACCAAGCTGAGTCCCATCAGCATCCTGTACATCGACGCGGGCAACAACGTCGTGTACAAGCAGTACGAGGGCATGGTGGTGGAGGCGTGCGGCTGCAGGTAGCCCGGTTGGAGCCGCGCGTGGTGTGGGACCTGATGCGTCAAAAGCCAAATTTATCCGGAGGAGCCGTGAACTTCATGAGAAGGAGGAGGCGCTGGCGATTCGGTGCTCCCTCATTGTTTTCCGAGGTTGCCAATCCCCGCGTCGAACATTTTTGAGAGGACCGTTTTGCTTATCGTGCTTCGGTTGGGCACTCCAATTCGCCCTGACCGCACCAAGGTGGTGTTGCCAACTCTCCTGGTTTTTTATATTTTTTTGGAGCGTCTTTTCTCTCTCTCCGTGATGGAGCAGTTTCTCGTCCTGCGAAAATCCGAAGAGTCGTTGGCCGAAAAACATTGGTTTATATCGGTTGCGTAATAATGCACCAAGGGATTAATTTCTCATCGAATATTTTAGGGGGATCGACATTCCCCACCACCCCCTCCCGGCTATGAACTCTGCGCCCGCCGGGAACAGCAGAGTGTGATGGGGCTGGGCGTATTTTCTGGAGCTCGACTGTGGATTAATTGAAGCCACCACTCGCGTAGCTATCCCTGCATGCAGTACTGTGGGACCTTTGCTTTTGTTGTTGTTGAACCTCGGCAGTGGCAATCCTAGCGCCACGTGGCGTGGCAGAGGAGGCACCAGGAGAGGAAACCTGCAACGGTGATGGATTGGTTCGTAGCTTTGGTGGGGGGTGGGGGGGGGGGGGTCAAGGTGTGACTGCTGGAAGAAGGTATCCCCGTGCCGCGTTGGTTGACGGGGGTTGTTTGACCATACTTCACCATTCTGGTCGGGTTGCTAGGTTCGTAGCACCACCGCGATCGCTATTGCTGCGTGCGAGTGTCTGTGTCTTCACCTCCAGACAGACGACTCGAGAGGTGGCTATAGTGTTGCTATGACTGTCTGTCTCCTTCATCATCATCATCATCATCAGTCGTCTGTCAAGGTCAATCCACCGCTGGATGAAGGACACCCCAAGCCGCCGACGTCACCGCACACGCAATCCCGGCACGTAACGTTCGCTCTTCTTCGCGGTTCGAATCATGTCGTCGTTGTCGTCGTTATTACTATGACCCTGCAGGGTCCCGCCCTCTCTAAATCCACACCGCCCCTTCCCCCTGTCCCCCAATACAATTCCTGTATCCTTCACGACTCACAAAGCATGGCGCGTGGATAATGTCAGGTGCTATACAAGCGTGGGGGTGGTGGTTATAGGAGATGGAAGTACAGCAAGTAGGTTTGTAAGGCCATCTGTTGCAGACTGTTTGAGTATTATTGATTCTTATCCGCGACGAGCTTTCTCCGGGCATTGCGGATTATTTTCATTGATTAGCAAACCACTCCTGACTTTAATAGACACTGGTTCAACAGTCCTGTGCATACAGCAGGACCCTCGTGAAGACAGCCTCAATGCTCAGTGAGACTTTCCTGGATATATAAAAGGCATTATTGTACGCACGTATGTGTGTGGAACTTCTTTCGCACCGTACGTAGTCAATCGTGCTAATCGAAGGTGCCATTATTATTATTTTACAGAGGAAATTATGTTTTGTGTTGTACTTTTCAAAAAAGCTGAAAATCAAAGCGTTGTAACAGTCAATACGAATGGCACTAAACGTCCATTTAACAGCCCTGACAAGGGTTAACCTCTGCAAATGTGAACTATGTCAACCACAAAGTAGTACTCGTTTTATATACCGTGGGTTCACTCAGCCCTTGAGGTTATTGTGTTCTTGAATAACGCCATATGCCACGAACATACATAACACTGGGGCACGTGCTGTTAGCGAGCACCTATTAAGTGCTGCAAATGGCATACAAGGTGGGTGTCGTGTTACCAGAATCGTGCTCGGCTGTGTCTGATGTTTACATATACCACAACATTAATTTAAGGCCGAGTCGGCCTAGGCGAGGCTCAGGATCGGTTTAGATATCACTATCAGTTGATGTTAGCCGGCGGACAGGAGTCAAACTCAGGTGGCGGTGTGATTAGTGCGGTGTACGGACCACTTGAATTGAAGCAATTTCATTGATCAGATTTGGAGAATTGTAAAACGGAGTGAAACACCGCTCCCTCCTTCCCATCTTTGTCTTTTTGTGTGTACGCAATCCATCGGCCACACACGCGGACCTTATGGGAGTTGCATCCTACCAGCGGGAATCGGTTAACTGCAAGCAAGCTCTGAACCGGTTTCGATTGCTTCCCCAGCAGAGTCAAGGATCATTTCTATTACACTGGTCAACCAAAAAAAAAATTCTGGCCTGGACTTTTACGGCTGTTTTAGACTAATTTCAGGGTGCTGATTCCAAATCTGATCTCAGATTTGCTCTATCACGTCATTGTTATGCTATCGGCATACCCCATTTTAATTGATTTTACCCGAAATTAACTCTGTCACTTATGATTGCAAGTTGTTGCGAGTCAGTGACTGCTTTAGTGTTAAATAATGGTGCTGTATTTTTAGGATAGTGTGTTTATAATACAATTTTATGTAGATATCCACATTTATTTAATATTTTTCTTCTGCAGTTTTAATTGAAAATGCAATATTTGATATCTCAAAAACCTGATGTGATAGACAAAAACTGATTTGGAATCAGCACCCCAAAATTACATTGAAACCGTTGGAATACCTCGTGCCAGAAAAAGTGTGTTGACCAGTGTTTATAGTTGTTGTCGTCGTTGTAACTTGTTGACCCGCTCCTACTGGACACCCCCGCCCCTACTTGGGCGCCAGGGTGGCGAAATGTTAACTCCCTCGCCTGGTATACAGGAGGTCGTGGGTTCGATCCCGAGCCTGACGCCTGTATATGTGGAGTTTGCACGTTCTTCCCCGTGGTCGTGTGGATTTTTTTTCATCTCCGGGGCCTCCGGTGTCTCCTTCCACATCTAGAAACACGCGTTTAGAATATCTGGCTGCTATAAATGTCCACACAGTCAGCCACTTCGTTGAGTTCTCTATTGCGATACCAGTTCGCTTCTCAAAAACAGCTATATAACTCAGTGGGCCTTACCTGGTAGAATATCTTTTTTAAATAGTTAATATTGGTAAAAGATAAAGCTTCATAGCTCATCCGATTCCTCCAGCCGAAATAAAGATTCCGATAAAAGATATAGAAGGGTGACATTGTACGGGAGGATGAGTAAGGAGACGGAGGAGGCTAAAGGAGGAGGTGGGGGCTAAGGAGGAGGAGGAGGTAGGGGTGGGGGATGCGGGAATAGACGAGGAAGAGACAGGGGGTGGGTGTGTGTGTGGGATAAGGCGAGGCACTAATGATAGCTCGAATGCCCGTCTAGCAACGCGTGGCATGTTAAACACACACTCGCGAGTCTGTACGAGAACAGAGAGGAACAAGCGAGAGAGAGAGAGGGGAGCATGCAGACGTGAACTTAAGGGACCGGCGCGTGAGTCTGGTCTGTGTAGTGAGATTTTTTTTTGTTTGAGAGCGAGCGAGCGAGCGAGAGAGACGGAGAAACACACAGAGAGAGTGAGAGAGACGGGGAGAGACAGAGAGAGAGAGAACGAGCAGAAAAAGCGACCAGGAAGAATTTTTCAAAAGGCAAATGTAAATACATACCTCGACAAGGGACACGGAGCGAGAGAAATTACAGGGTTCGCGCGTCTTAATAGGGGAGTCAGACGGCGGAGGGAGACAAAGGTGGCTTTGGTGTTGGGTGTTGAATGAGGCCCGAGACGAGGGTCGAGGAAGCGTCTGGGGGGGGGGGGGTGAATGACTTCGGAGTTTGGTGGACTCAGCCGGCAGCCACGTCACCTTCTGTAGCAACAACACAAAAATGTTGGGATGTTAACTTTAAGAAGATGTAGGATGTCTGGAGCTCAACCTCCACTCACCCCTCCCCCCCTGAGCCTGTCCCTACAGACACGCTGCGTAGTGTCTACAGGCAGACCGCTTCAACCACAGCGTACACCATACCTCCCCCCTCCGTTTGGGTGATTGGTAATTTTCTTCTTGGTTCTTTCGGTAAAGTCACGTAGAAGGGAAGTAATAAAATAATAAAAATAAAACATAATAAAATAATTATTTTTATTATAAAATAAAACGTAATAAAATAATTATTTTTATTCTTATTTTTTTATTACTTCCCTTCTACGTGACTTTACCGAAAGAACCAAGAAGATGAATCCCTGCAATCACGAAAGCTTTAAATCGTGATTGTTAATTGTTACGTAATTAAATATGAAACGAAGACGCAGCTCTTAACAGTGTTTGAAAAAAACCCAACAACATATATATGGGATTTAGGAGTAATTATAAATAAACAGACATTTATTTCCATGTCACCACACATATATATTACAAAAAACTAATAAACGGTACATAAGAGTTTTGTTTTTTGGGATAGGCCGACGCAAATTGCGTGGCCACGTTTGTGCCGCTATTATCCTCTCACCACCCGACCCGACGCAGCCACACAAATTGAAATCGTCACCGCGTGTCAAGATGTTCCACGACGCACAGTTTGCCAGATCGACACGTGGCCTCATAACTCTTACCCCACCCCCCCACGCCCCCCTCCCGAAAAAAATCAATAATCAATCAGAACATCGGCTGTGAAAACTTGCGCATGAAGTGAAACAGAGCAACGTTGGGTTCCATCAGCCCCTTGGGACCTCTGGACCAAAAGGCCTTCCAGGTAGGCAATTTGTTTAAGTAGCAAACCTTGGAGCATCTTAACATTTCAAAGGGTCTCATCGGTGGAGACTGACCTACTGGTGTGGTTTCAAGTGTATTTTGTTGTTGTTGTTGTTTAACCAGACGAGACCTCAAGACAGCGGTGATGAGTCTCATTTGCAAGAGTCATATAGAGGAGGAGTAATGGTACACTATATATATTTATATAAATAGATATTTGTACGTAAATATATATTACACACCTCGCTGGCTCTTGCGTTTCTGTTTCGTTTTAACTTATTATTTTCTTCTTATTCTTATTATCATTATTTTTGAGTACAGCAATTCCATCGTTGTGTGATGCGTGCAAGGGGTATGGCTGGCGCAAGGGGACTGCTGGGATCACCCCTCTCTCAATAACTTCATCGTTATCATTATTGAACCGATACAAAATGTTTAGCCGGGTCCACAAACTGAGCAATCGGTTGCACGCAACTCAGTTGCACGCAATGCGCATGCGATTTGGTTGCATAGCACACTGGATGAACAATCCAGATTCCACTTTCATAAATTGTCCATTTCCCCACGCCCCACGCCTCTGTCCACGCAGCAGCATAAATGTGTAAAATCACAGTGAGTCGCGTGTGGGGGGGGGGGGGGGGGGGCAAAGTGTGGGTACTTCCACCTCTGTGAAGACATTTGACCCGCATGGAAGAGTCGGCCGAATGTGTCTCCCCAACGCCAACAAATAGAATCAAGCAACCAACGAATCAATCAATCTCTGTAAAACTCCTTCTTAAGTGAAGGACCTTCCGCCCGCAGTGACGCGAGCAATCGACTGCAGAGCTGCGCTTTTGCCCGTTACCAACGAGAAGTGTTATCGAGAGAGAGAGAGACCAGGAGGCCACGCACTGCTTGCCACGTTGCACAGTGGTGACGTTCACTCCGCGTTGCGCGCAGAATGTCCACACGCGACGTGAGGCCTGCTCGTCACACACGTGTCGGCACGTGTCGGCACGGAGTGGAGATTTCACCCCGGCTCGCACTAAGGGTTCATGCCAGTTCCGCGGAATCCTCAGCCTCAATTGTCCGAATTTAAGACGCGTTTTTCTTATACGTATTAATAATGTAATTAACTAATTGACCTCCAACCGTAATACAGTATACGATTGTAGGAGTGCTGTTAACCTGACGTGTTCCATGCTATTGAGTGATGCCAATATTATTGTAATGACGTAGAATCGTGAGACAGAGCGATATATTAACACGTGTAATAATATGTCCGTGTGTACTGTCGTCCGTTAGCCGTGTAAGATTCAGTGTAATCTGTGTGTGAATCCGTGTAATCTAAGTGATCTTTGTGCGCGAATGTCTATCTATATATATATAACTACGCCAACATCCGTTCATATTATTGAACCGTAAAATCAATAATAACAACAATAGCAATATCAGTAGCAATAAAAATCAAATTCAAACGTTCAGCCCTTCGTCAATCCACTGCTGGATGAAGGCCCTAAAACCACACATGCCAAAACGGCCGTGGGTCATTGTTTTGTTTGACCATACTTCACCACGCTGGTCAGTGCTGACTGGTTAAGGGCTAGGACTTAGACTCGGGTCGGATAACACTCGCCAATGATGCAAGAGAGAGGAAGGCCTCACAGAGAATGGCTTGACGACGAAATTGAGAGATCGGTGCCAGAGAAAGATGTGGCCACGATTTGACCCATATTGGCACAAGGCAGTGGACACCTACGGTGTTATCTGCCCATGGATCGTGATGATGAATGATGTTAACCGTTGCCGGGAATTGAACTCAGGTGGCCGGGTTAATCTAGGATCGTGCTCACCCACTCGCCAAGCTGTGTGCGTGAAGATCTCAGTCGGCCACGCGGTCACTGAACGCGGCATCCCACGGAGAGGCTGAACGCTCGTACCTACCTCGTGCCAAAGACCGTGTGCGTCGTCATGCCGGTGGAGGTTCTAGATTAGAAGCTTTCGTGACTGCAAGGAATCATACTCTTAGTTTTTTCGGTAAAGTCACGTAGGTAAAAATTTTTAATTAAAATTAATAAAAATAATAATAATAATAAAAAAAATCACGACGTTTCGGAGGCAACACAAGTCTCCGTCATCAGGTGGGACCGTCACAGCCAAATGTTGATATTTTTTTTTATTATTATTTAATTTTTATTAATTTTAATTTAATTTTTTACCTACGTGACTTTACCGAAACAAACTAAGAGTATGCCGGTGGAGGTTCCGTGACAGGTTTGAAGGTGGCCACGAAGTCCACCTCGGGGTTTTTCCAGTCTGTGGTGCGTGGCTTGTGCAGTTGGATTCATTGAGAAATATTGGAACCCGCTGCCAGTGGCTACACCAATCAGCACGTGCTCGCATCGAGATCCATAGAGTCACGCAGGGGCCCACATACTTGCATAGATACCCATAGCCTCACATAGGAACCAGTAGATTTAGAGACTCATAGACTCACCAATCAGCACTTTCTAATATAGAGGCCAATAGACTCAAACAGACACCAATAGATTAACATTGAGACCCATATACTCACAAAGATAGCGATAGACTCACATAGATACCCATAAACTCACAAAGAAAGTCATAAACTCACACAGAGACTCATAGGCTCACGAAGATAGCCATAGGCACACCACATAGAGACCCAGAGAACGAACTTGTGTTGGCTGACGGTGGCTTCATCATCGGCGCCTCCTCCACCAGACGGGCGCTGGTCAGCCCATGTAACTCCTCCAGGAGAAGGTGGATCCCAGCACTGGTGCAGCCTGATCATCATCACCACCACCACCACCGCCGCCGCACGTAGCCTCTGCGTTCCAACCCATCAGCGGGTCGTGAGTGCGCCATCACGCGTCGTCGGCTGAGGCTGGAAACCCCCTTCGAGGTGGTGAACTCTGGCGAGAGCCTCCCTCGCCGCGGCTGACGAGCTTCCTCGTTGTGTGCCGGTGAACACGGCAAGGTGAACGCTCGGCGACATCTGAATAAAGCAACTGTGTCATTTAACGAGGACCGCCTCCCCCCGTCGTCGCGTGCTGTTTGACGATTCATGTGTTTTGTTTTAAATAGTTTATATTAAGTTTGCTTGCTTGCGTGCTTGCTTGCTTGCTTACGACCGTGCAAATCTTTCGGTCGTTTGTTTTACCCACTTCCCGTGATCCAATCGAGCTGACATTTTGCACACAGACTCGTTGTGCGTGACAATTAATTTTCGTGAAATTTTTTTCTCCAAAATTTTACACTGTTTAGGGAAAAAAATTTCAATATTTAATTACCAACTGCTTAATGGTGGCAGACAATCATCTGACCCATAGGTGGCAGCCATCTCAAGGCAGAGGACGAGAGGACTCTAGCCGCCACGCAAATAAAGGATTTATAGTGAAAAACTTTGTTTTTACGGGTTAATTTTTCTTTTTTCGGGGGGCATACTGATGATTATAATTACGATTTCAACTTTCGCTCACTCTCGCGGAGAGAGAGGGGAGAGAGAGAACGACCCAGAGGCGCCAGTATGAACCAAGGACAAGAGGGAGAGGCAGCATCAGCCACGCCAGGAGCCGGCGCCAACTTTTGTCCAAGCTCTGCAGTCCTCGGTGTAGGAAGATGTTATCGGGAAAACTCATGAGTGCTTACATGTCGGAGGAAACCAGAGCAACTGGAGAAAACCCACGCGTGCGAGGGGGCAACGCTATATATTTATATATTTTATTTTACCAGGTAATGCCCACTAAGCTATGTAGCTCTTTTCCAGAAGCGACCTGGCCAAAAATTAGAAATCAAGTGGCTTATCACGGCACATTTATTTCAGTCGAATGCTCTAAACGCACACCGATTATAAATGTGGAGGGAAAACACGGTCGTAATCGAACCTACGGCCTCCTGCATACCTGGCGAAGTAGTAAACATCTCACCACCGTGACACCCTGGCCACAAACGAGAGCTCAAAGAAGTGGCTTATCACGTGGACATTTACAGCAGCCAAATACGCGGGCACGGAAAGACGAACTCACACCACGCCACACCGTGTCAACCCACACGGTTTACCCCGTATTCTTGTACAGGGAAATTGAGTTTTCAGCTCCATACGGTGTACAGCCGTTTCAATACGGGCACAGAACACGTGTCTATTTGTGTGTTTCTCCCTTGTGATGGGACTTGAAAGGATGAACGTTGAGATTTCTAAGGGGCACGGGGTGACCAATAAGGTCTGAATTGGTCTGTAATAAGGTAGACACTGATAAGGGGTTGACAGGTATAAATAAGGTAGTCACTGATAAGGGGTTGACAGGTATGACTGTAAATGTGCGCACGCAAACAAACG